TCTGTTCCATGCACCATCTATGATGGGCTTTCAGAAAAGGAGACAAGCCAATAAAGAAATGAAGCAACACAGCTGTTGATGCTGGAGTGCCCAGAATGAAGGGGGGGGGGGAAATGAACCACTCACAACATACTGATGGCATCTTTCCCCTGGATCCTTTACAGTCCAACACAAGTGTCAAGCATCTTGCCCTATGCGGCTACTGCATTCTTGAACAGGCAGCCCAGAATGCTTAAAAACATCAGGTCGTGCCTATTGGAATCACAAGGGCAGAACTCCTCTCATGACAGTTATAGACACCAGCTGCTCTGGAAAATCCATTCTCTTTACAGAGCAACTTGCACTTTTAGATTCCGACACTTAGGAATGAAAAGGAGACCTGGGGTGCAGCCATACTGAGATATCAGGAAAGTAAGCACTGTACTCACAACTTCTTGGAAAGAACTTCTGCTCACGGCAACCTGTTGAATATTCTTTGCCGGGTTCCAAACTTGCTTTCCAGTCTTCCACGAAATGGCAGAAATTAGGTGTCCTCTAGTCACCTAGATTTAGCTAATATGGTTCTCCTCCAGAGGTTGTTGAGTTCCATCTCCCAGCAGGCCCTGCAGCCAGCATGGCCAATGATCAGGGCATGACAGGAGTTGTAGTGCAACGTCTGGAGTGGTGCCTCCTTGGCCACTCCTAGCAATGTCCTTCAATTTTGGGAGGCCCAGATGTGGTTAATTAAACCCTCATCACTCCAGATCATCGGGCTGGGGCTCGCCAGTTTCCACAGGCATCTGGTTGGCCACTGTGAGAATAGGATGCTTGATCTAAATGGGCCACTGGCTTGATCCAGCAACCTCTTTTTATGAAGAACATTGGTATAGAGCAGCGGTTCTCAACCTGTGGTCCCCAGATGTTGTTGGACTACAACTCCCATCATCCCTGACCTCTGGCCTTGCTAGCTAGGGGTGATGGGAGTTGTAGTTCAACAACATCTGGGGACCCACATGTTGAGAAAGGCTGGTATAGAGGAATATGTTTATCTTTACAAAGGAATAGGTCTTTCCTCCGCTAGAATGTTTCCACCTTTGGCTTGCATACACGGAATGTTCCCTATCGCTTGCTGAGACTTTAAGAGCAACCCTCCCCAGCACACCTTTCCCGTTTTGTTTTCTGTTTTAGCAGCTCCCAGAATCTGCTAGAGCCATCTTCCTCACAACGCCCATGCCGTTCCAGGCCTTCCGGGTGGCTGTGTTTTCGGTTCCTAAATGCAGAGCACGGGAGGGCTTGGGGAAGGGGGAGGGAAGGTGGCAGAGCAGCAGGCAGAGGGCGGTTGGCTCTTAATGGCACAACGCAGAACAAATTAACATGGAAAATGCTCCACCAAATTAACAATAGCAGTTGGAGATTATGAGGCTTAAACATCTGATTCCTCCACATTTGAGGCTTCCTCCTTTCCCAGATAGCGCATAAAATGTGAAGGAGCCCACCGTGGATGCATGGGAGGCAGATTTCATCTAAAGGGCAACTTAGCATCACTCCTTGTTGGGGGCCCCTCTTTATCGACAGTTGGGCATCTTTCCCTGGCCTCTGTGGCCAGGATCCTGAATGCCAAAAGGGCTCCCTTTCACACAAAGATTTCATTTTGCTTAAGCATGAGGGCTCCCTGCAAAATGTGGCATTCTTTCATATTTATTTGCTAGCATTTATTAGTGGTTTTTAACCCTCACCTACTTTCGTCTGAGGAGAGTTCATTGTAGTTCTTATCCTCCTCCCTCCACATTTTAGCGTAAATTATTCTACAGAGCTTTCATCAAGCTAAGTCTTTTTCACAATGCAGTGGTACCTTGGGTTAAGTACTTAATTCGTTCCGGAGGTCCATTCTTAACCTGAAACTGTTCTTAACCTGAAGCACCACTTTAGCTAATGGGGTCTCCTGCTGCCACCGGGATGCCGGAGCATGATTTCTGTTCTCATCCTGAAGCAAAGTTCTTAACCCGAGGTACTATTTTTGGGTTAGCGGAGTCTGTAACCTGAAGCGTCTGTAACCCGAGGTACCACCGTATTGCCCCTTTGCACTGACTAAATGGGAGAGGGGCTGCTCCCTTCCCATTGTGGAACGTCCTGTCCCCATCTCCCAGTAACTTCAGACAAGGAGCTCAACATGGTGTCAAGATAGCAGGGGGCGTGGCATCAAGGGCGTGGCCAGCAGGTGGCGTCCTGCTACCCCCTCCCACACACATATATTTAATCTACATGTGGTTGATGACCTTGTGAAAAGAGCTACAGTTATTGGCTGTTTATGATCTCCACTGATGGAGACAGAACACCTCCAAATACCAGTCGCTGTGGAGCAGAAGTGGGGAGAGCAGGGGTGCCATAGGGGGCAGCCCCCCAAATTTTCAAGAAGGGGGCAGGGACCCCTCAAAATTCCATGGTGATCCTCAAGAGGGTGAAGACGCTTTGCCCTGCTGTGTCCTTGTGAGGATCACCAGGGAGTCGGCAGGGCGAACTGTCTTCACCCCGCGTGTCCCTTCGATGATTGCCAGAGCACTTTCCTGAAAGGTGCACTGGCAATCTCCACCAGGGATGCAAAGGTAAGGTGGCTGGTGGTGGGTGGGTGGGGGAAGGCAGGCTGAGTTGGTCTGGCTGGGTTGGGGGGGCATCATGTGTGCGACGTCATGCATGTGTGATGCCCCCCCCCCAATGTTGGGCGCAACTCAGTGCGCCTTGTGGAGAGTGCTGCTAGATGACTTTAAAAGAGGATTAGACAAATTCACAAAGGATAAGGATACTAGACACAATGGCCATGTTCTGTCTACACTGCTGGAACTGCTGGGAATCACAAGCAAGGAGCGTGCTCAGGTCCTGCTCACAGCCTTCTTACTTAGGGCATCTAGTTGGACATTGTAATAAGAAGATGCTGGCCTTGATGGGCCCCCCTTCGTTTGCTCCAGCTGCGAGGCTCTCCAATGGTGTTTCATGTATTCCCCAAATGGGGTGGGGTGCATCATGTGTAGTGAATGTAAAGCCACTCCTGGCTCAGAGGATTATAACATGTTCTCCACTTGCTTCTTCTCCAGAGTTGATGGTCTTCAGGAAAGCATTAAGAAGAGGGACAGAACACAGAAAAAGAGGGGTGGAGGTGATGCATTTAGTATTTGGAATTTCCAACTTTTTTAATGGAGAGGTAAGGAATCTGTGGCTCTCCAGCTGTTGGTTGGCTGAACTCCCATCAGTACCAGACAGCATGGTCAAAAGCCAGGGATGATGTCTGGGTGTCCACCACTGTCTTGCCCTTAAAAAAGAAATCCTTGTGAAAATTCACACATTGTATCGGGAAGTGTGAGTGAAGTGGATCTGCCTTTAGATGCAAACAGAATAAAAGTTCTCCTCTGAACCCTGCCCAGGGGAGAGGTTAGGAGTGATTGGCAGAGGCTGGTGTTTGGACTGTCCCTTTCCCACAAGAGGAAGAAGCTGGGATGAACTGCCCAGCATCCTCAGCGGGAAGAGGAGGCTTTGCATCTCTGCTGGAACTGCCAACCCCTTTCTCCTTCCCCATGTGATGTTTTCTGGACTTGGAAAGCACAGGCAGGTGCTGGAGGACTGCACTGGGAAACTGGGAGGTGTGTGAATTTTGAAGAATGGTCATACTACGGTGTGTGTGTTGTTTTGGAAAGTGTGAATCATGTACAGTAGGTTCGAACTGGATCAAATTTCTCTCCCATCCCCACCTGCTGCACGAAAGCAGATAAACCTGGCTTCGGTGTCAGCTGCCGCGATTATGTGTGCTCCGCTGACAAAGCTGAAGCACGAAGCATTCCTCGCACAGCACCACCCAAGTACATCCTTATGGTAAAACCCAGAAAAAGAAACCTTTGGATAATTGCTGTTTTCTGAATACTCTTTCACATTCACGCCTGCATATAATATATACAAACATGCACACACACAGCGTCTCATCCGAACATCGCGGCACTCACAAAACCCATCCTTTTTTCCTCCGCCTCACGTTTCCTCCCATCTCATGTCACTCGGCTGCCACACTTCTGCAGGAAACAATGATGCTATTGAGAGATGATTGCTGTTTGCTGTTAATACAGCAGCTCTGGAATGCTAAAAGCACACTTTTAAAAGGATACTGTATTTAAAGAGTCTTTCAAAAGGAAACATGCGACAACAACTCTTTCAAAGGCTATACTGTGCTTAAAAAAAAAAGAGTGGTGAGGAGAGAAAGAGAGAGAGAGGGAGAGAGATGCTAAGCGCACTTCTCGGTCATTCACTCTTTGCAAAAATTAGCTGTTTTATTGCCGGTGAGGATGGGAACCCAGAATTCTGAGCAGTTGCAACCCTGAGCAACTCTCAGTTCTGTTCTGTCTACCTGCTGCCCTGCTTCCCACACCACCACCCACAATTGGGGTGGGGTGGGGGGACAACAACATGGCCATCTGTAAAGAGAAGATCCAGTTGCATCCACCTTTTCAAAGTTTATACCAGAGATAATGGCTGCTTGTAGATGAGGGCTTCATATTGTTAATGTTTTTTTTTGTTTTCCAGCCATTGCAAATGGGTTGCTGAAAGCACATTAACAATGTCCTGAGGGATAGCTCAGTCAGCAGAGCATGAGACCCTTAATCTCAAGGTTGTGGGTTCGAGCACCACATTGGGCACAATATTCCTGCACTGCAGGGAGCTGGATGAGATGATCCCCTGAGAGGACCATCTGAGATACATCCCTTCTGTTAATGTAAACTAGCACAATGCTACACTGTTCTGGAAAAGTGAGAAAAATGTGGGTGATGTCAGGGCAGGGTGAGGAAACTGTTGCCCTCCAGATGTTGCTGGATGAACTACAGCTCCCATTATTCCTGGCTGTAGGCTATGATGGCTGCCGGAGCTGATGGGAGATGTCGTCCAACAACATCTGGAGATGTTGCACATGTGGTTTCATGATTGCTGGCAGAAACCATCATGACGTCCTTGTCTCAAAATCCCATTGAAAAGAACCTGGACGGGAGATAGCTCAAGCGGTAGAGCATGAGCCTCTTAATCTCAGGGTTGTGGGTTTGAGCCCCATGTTGGGCAAAATATTCCTGCACTGCAGGGAGTTGGACGAGATGATCCTTGTGGTCCCTTCCAGTTCTACAATCCTATGATTGTAGAAATGGGTTTTCATCAGAAAGGTCTGTCTGGATCAAGCTAGGAAGGGCAGAACATGGGCTGGCATTTTGATGCCAATGGCTTTGTGTGGGTGTTGTGAAAGGTTTGCATGCATGGGAAGCACTCTTCTGGGCACACCCCACATTTGCACACTTCCGTGTTGTTTCGGAAGCCGCTTGGAGGTACCATGACACAGTAGCAGTGGAGAACATGTTTTGCATGCAGAAGATCCCAAGCTGAAATCCTGACATCTCCAACTAAAAGGGAAGAGGGAGCCTATGATGGAGAAAACATCTCTCCGAGGACCCCAGAAGAACCCCGCAGCGACTGGGTCAGGCCAAAGGGAGACTATCTAGTCTAGCATCCTGCCCTCACAATGACCAACCAGATGCCCCCAAGGGAAGCATCTGGACCCAAGCACGACAGCAGCACTATCCTGATTTGTTATTCCCAGCAATTGGTATCCAGAGCCACACTGCCTCCAACCGTGTAGGCAAAACATAGCCATAGTGGCTAGTAACTTCCAATAGCCTTATCCTCCATGAATTTGTCTAATCCTCAAGGGCCACCTCTCTCCATATGAACAGACCTGAACCCTGAGATCAGCCTCTGAGGCCCTTCTTCATGTGCCTCCTTCACGAGAGGCCTGGAGGGCGGCAACACAAGAACGAGCCTTTTCTGCAGTGGCTCTCCGTTTGAGAAATGCTCTCCCCAGGGAGGTTCGCCTGGCGCCTTCATTATACACCTTAAGGTGCCAGGCAAAAACATTCATCTATAACCAGCCCTTTGAATGCGTGACACCCAATGCTATTTTATAATGTGTTGGGGAGGGGAACCTTATTGGGTTGCTCTTGTTTTTGCTTTTATTATGTGTTTTATGTTCATATATTGTGATTTTGTGTTGTAACTACCCTGCGACCTGCAGGTATAAGGCAGCATACAGGTTTTAATCCTTCATCTTAATCATCACCATCCTTTTATATAGTCATCCAGTTTGTTGGGCACCACTGTGTCCTGGGGTAGCAAATGCCACCATTCAACTATGTGCTGTGCAAAGAAGCCTTTCCTTTTGAATCTTCCGATATCATGGCCCCACTGGGTTCGCCAAGAGAGGGAGAGAAATGTTTCCCTGTCTACTTTTTTTTACTGTCCAGTGTCCGCTGGGGAACTGAAGCCAGTGGGACATGCTGGGTTACATAGGTAAACCGTATGACCTGCCATAAGACTGGCTCCTGTTCCTGCTTCGGAACACTGCAGTGCACCTAAATAAGGGAAACAGAACTCAACATGATGGGGACATAAGGCATGTTTGGGGGCAGTTGCCAGTACAGAATTCCACCCGGATGGTCATTACTCAAGGCCGGGTTGTGGGTTACGTGCCCCTGTTGCATCAGGAAAGTCACTGAACAAACATTCCCTCATACTGGAAGGCAGTTTCTGCCTCCCCTGATTTATTCCGCGGGCCATCTGGACCTTGAGAACAATGTGTCCCCATATCTGAATGGCTAGCCCCGTTAGTCACACCCTCTTCGCTCGACCTCTGCATCCCTAATCTTCACACTCTCCCTCGGCCCCTTTGAGTGTGGCAAAATGACCGGATCCGTTTCTCACCTCTCCTTCGGCTGCCGAAGTTCAGAGGAGACAAAAGGGCCTGCCTCTCTGCACATCGGCGCGACAGGGAGCATAAAAATGACATATGCGGCGGCCCACCCCAATCCCCCAGAGTCCGCCTTTCCAGGTTTCCCAGCTGAAGCTCTGCTCCTCATCGGAAAAGTCACAGAAGTTAAGAGACCCTTTCACCATCTCAAACCTTATGGGGGCAATCACTGCATTTCGGAACACACCCGCACCAAACAAATCTTCCACATTGTCAATGTTCTTTGGGCTTTATTTTTTTGCTTGCAGTTCCTCTGATGATGATGCCTGAAGAGGAATCAGCAAATATGCTTCAGATCTTACTATGGGCAATATCCAGCAACAACAGAGGGAGACACAGAACATTATCCCTTGCTGATGAGACATTCCCCAGATCTTAAAGATATTCTTTTGGGAAACTTTTTTTTTTGCAGCAGCAAAGTTCCAGCAGCCCTGGTTTAGCCTGTGGGTTGGGAGGTGGCTAAGACTTTATCTTGCGGCACAATGAAATATGAGATTTGGGCGCAGAGATTCCATTCTCCCCTTATTTATTGGGAAGATGTTGCTAACACAAGGATGATGGAGATAAGATCGATTGAGTTCCCACAAAAACAGCTAAGGAGGAATCACTTCCCAACCCAAAATGATTTTCCTCCAGGGTGTAGGACCAATATCAAGTGCACTCTTGCAGCGATGTGCATTAGGCCATTTCCCTGGCCGCTCTTCCCCTCCTCTCCATCACTATCCGCACCATATCATCAGTTTACTTATTCTTTATTACACTTCTTTCTTTCCTTTTCGGCGATTGCCCAAGGAAGAATGATTATGCCGGGGAAGGAGCAAAGAGGGAAAGAATCAAGCGGCTATTAGTGGCAGGCGGTTTATTGCAACAGGCGCACAAGCTCATTCCTTTCATGTTCCCCCGGAATATAAAAGCCCCAAAACATTTTAATTTTAAATTCTTATCATTGAATTTACTGCTTTTCTCTCCCAATGATTTGTGTTGCTTTTTAATTTTTACAGTCTCTACAGCAGCCAGATGCTACCGCCTCAGGCCAAAATAATAAAAAAAGGCTACTGCAGTCATGAGTTACAGAGAGAGAGGGAGAAACCGCAACAAAAAAGCATGCTTGACAGAAGTTAATATCTCAATTTAACAGTGCTGCTTTGCTAATGATCCTTTGATATGTGTTTATTTAAAAAGGTCTGATCTTGACCTTGGAGGGAAAAATGAAACCACAAAGTCTTTATGAGGGGAAAGAGAGGGAGAGGTAGCCGTGGGGGTGGGAAAGGGGTTTATTTAGATATTGGCTTTGTGTCAATCGCCATGGCAGCTGGACTGGGGGTGGGGAGGAAGTGGCTAAAACAGGGGAGGAGCAGAGGCTCAGCATTAATTTATGATTAAATTTAGGTGTCCAAGGAAGCCGGACAGTGAGGGGGTGGGGGAATGGGAGATAAAACAAGATCACTGACCATGTTCTCCACACACCCATTGGGTGTTCATAGCCACACAAAGGAGATCCTGGGTTAGAATGAAGAAAACATAGAAACAAAAGAACTAGTTTTAGGAATCTGTTTTCCCCAGCCGTCAGCTTCATGGTTTCTCTCGAGGTTGCTCTGAGACTGGGAAAGGTGGTCAAGGTGAGAGGGCAACGGGAACTGATGCTACGCAAGAAATGGTGTCGGGTTCTCTAGAACTAGAACATGGCCGTCCTCCTGGCTGGTGGTGTAGGAGGGAAAGTCAGATTTGTAGGGTTCCTTTGGGGTAGTCAGCCACCTGTCAGACTTCAGGGACTTGCGTCCGTATAGTTAAAGCTATGGTTTTCCCAGTAGTGATGTATGGAAGTGAGAGCTGGACCATAAAGAAGGCTGATTGCTAAAGAATTGATGCTCTTGAATTATGGTGCTGGAGGAGACTCTTGAGAGTCCCATGGACTGCAAGAAGATCAAACCTAGCCATTCTGAAGGAAATCAGCCCTGAGTGCTCACTGGAAGGACAGATCCTGAAGCTGAGGCTCCAATACTTTGGCCACCTCATGAGAAGAGAAGTCTCCCTGGAAAAGACCCTGATGCTGGGAAAGATTGAGGGCACAAGGAGAAGGGGACGACAGAGGATGAGATGGTTGGACAGTGTTCTCAAAGCTACCAGCATGAGTTTGACCAAACTGCGGGAGGCAGTGGAAGACAGGAGTGCCTGGCGTGCTCTGGTCCATGGGGTCACAAAGAGTCGGACACAACTAAACGACTAAACAACAACAACAACAAGCAGAACAAAGTGAAAGGAGTCTCTTACACTTCAAAGTTTTAATGACTACAGCAAGAGAACAAAGCCTCCATTCCTAGGGATGAGGTGCTCCCAGTTAAGAGTCCCCCCCCACTTCCACCCATGTCACTTCTGCCTCTTGCAACCTGATCTCGCACCCACTTCGCTTTCTGTGCTGCCACCTTATCTGCTCTCCTTGACCTTGGGCTGAGCAGATGGACGCTTTCCAGTGACAGTGAGTCTGTTCACTCTCCCTCTTCCAGTTCTCCTCCTCCTAGCTGTTCACCACCCAGTTCTTCCCAACTTCTGCCTTCTGAACTATGTCCCTCTGCAAACCACGGTTCCAAATCTATACTGTCCCACTGCTCCTGGGAAGATTCAGGATCCTCAGCACGGTCCCTGACACTACCTCACAGCCATGCCCCTTGTATGGTTATACAGTACGTTTATAGCTATGCAATATTACTAATTAGGGATGCATTGCAGCAATCGATGGATATATCTATGTGTTGCTTTTCAGCTGGATCTACCTATTTATTTATTGCATTTCTATCCCAACTTTCCCCCCAATAAGCTCAAGGTAGTGCATATGGTTCTTCCCCTCCTCACTTAATCCTCACACCAACCCTGTGAAGTAGGCTGCCAGGTTAAGCTAAGAGGCAGCGTCAGCCAGCGAGCTTCATATTCTGTGCATGTCCATGGGCAAACGATTTGGAGAGCTCCAGTGTCTTCTTCTGGGCTGTCTTAATTTGCGTTTTCCATGAGGCTCCATTGCACACAATGGAACTTACACACCATTCAGAGCATGAGACTCTTAATCACAGGGTTGTGAGCTCGAGCCCCACATTGGGCAAAAGATTCCTGCATTGCAGGGGGGGTGGACTAAATAACCCCTGTGGTCCACTCCAACTCTATGAGGCACACTAGGAACTGGGGAGTTTTTTTTCCCTTGTCCTGTTTTAAATGGTTCAGAAGTATTTTTGATGCACTTCCAAATTCTACAACAGACATGGAAGGAAGGATTGAC